GCTTGTGATTTTTTAATTGCTTCTATTATAGAATTTAAAATATTAAGGTTTTTATTTCAGTAAACTTTATTTAACAAACTGCTTACTAAAATTGATTTAGAGATTTTTAAATAAAAACTTAAAAATGAGCCAAATTTTATTCGGTTTTTGAGTTTTATTTTCAATTTCAACTTCAAACTTTCATATTTCTTATACTTATTTCAAATGTTTTGAAAAAATTGCAGTGATTGGAGCCAAATCATAAAAAATACCCAAAAACTTGTACTTTCCAACCCAAAAGAGTAAAGAATAACTGAACCTTATATTTTTACTGTTTGGAATTAAACTTTTTTTTATTAACTTTTAAAATATTTCAAAGTTACGACCAAACAATGTTTCCAAGTTCTTTCTTTCCTCCAATAATGTGGTTGTATAAACTTTAAAAAAGGTTGGCGCCAAATAATTACAGTTAGTATAATAAGTAATTAAACTAAAATAATAATGAATTATTATTTTGGCATATAAAAGTATGTACTTTGAATCAAAATATATATTTTAAATACTTTTAAGTTCTTTTTTTTTAATCAAATTTTAATAAAAAACAAGGTAACTAAATTCTTTTTGCTTCCTCGTGTATTTAATTAACTTTATCTTTTATATTATTTATCTTTATTTTGTTCATAACTTGACCAAAACTTTATCAAAACATTTTGTTCAAAACATTATCAGACCTGATCAATTAAAAAAAAAACTAATTCAATTTAAAATCTTCTTAATGATTTTTTTAAAGTCTTCAATATAGAATTGAATAAGAACTCAGTTTTGAATAAAATTTAAAGTTTTCTGGGGGGCAGAGGCATAACCATATATAGTACGCCATTTTAGATGTTATCAACATTTTAGTGATCTATATGAAAATTTCTTAAACATCTGTAGCAATAGAACAATAAACGTAATCATTTTGAAATTGGAAACGTTTATTTTTTTATGTTTACATTAAATTCTTTTCGAAAAATTTTTTAAATGTTTGATAATTTTTAAAAACTTTTGTATGTTTATACTGAATTCAAGTGTATTATGTAATATGAATATTTTGGTAATAAAAAAAATCAAGTGTAATATGAATAATTTGGTAATAAAAAAATCTTAAAAATTTTTTTTAACGTTATTTTAGTTTTAGAAATAGAAATTAGTTAAGATTATACAACTCTTACATTTACAAAAGTATACAAGTAGTATGTAGTAAAATGTACAAAAAGATGTCATAAAGGTTCAGACATGTCAAGAATGTTTTTTGGAAAACATTCTGGACATTCAGCAAACGGTAAACATCTTTTCAAAAATTAAATCAACATATTACTAAATTAATATTATTTATAAGCATAGATTTAAAATATGCTAAAAGAATTTAATAATTCATTCAGCATGATTAAACAACCAAAATATGTGAACTTTGTATAAGTTATGTAAGTTAGTAAATTTAAAGCAAAATTGAATCTAATACGCTTTTATACACAGCAGAAGGCCTTAAAAAATCAAAATACAAATAATTGAAATTATTGACCTAAATTCGTTAAATTTTTGGAGTATATTATTTACAGTTTAGCTATTTACTTTTACTATTTAGTTTACAGTTTCAAGGAAGGAGGGGGGGGGGGGGGGAGGAGCCAATGTCTTTACTCTAAAGCAAGTCATATTCACCTTATAATCGATTTTTTCAAAGTTATAGTCGATCAGTAGGCGTTTGACATATTTCAGTCATTTGATTTTGAGTTTTGAAAACCTTTTTTTTTTTAGAAGGTAGACGGTAGTTTTTGGTGATTCACCCCCTTTTTTTTAATTCCTAAAATCACCCCTATTTAGAAAGTTGTATGTTAAATAGACTTTCAGTTTAAAAAAAAATTAAATTGATTAAAAACAAATGATTATATCATAAGAGAATTAAATTCTACATAAATTTAATCAAAAATAAATAATTTCATTTTCTATTCTAGAAGAACCACCTTAATAGATAATAGTGTTAACGTTTGTGTTAAAGCTTTATTAACAAGCTAAGCGCATTAGTTTGAGCTACAATACGGCGCCAGCAGAAGCGTTGTTTATGTCACAACGTCGCAGTGGCGTCTCTAGGGGGTGCGGGGTGTGTGGGCCGCACTGGGTGACGCTATCACAACCAATTGAAAATATTGTATTTTCTTTAATTTTTATTAACATTATAATCATAATAAATGTTTTTACATTATCAAATAAGTAAGATAAAAATAATAAAGGTTTTTAAAGATGTCTTGGTGGTATTACTTTGTAGCTTTTTTACTTTTATTTAAAAAATAAAATTCTCATTACCAACAGTTTTTATTGGTTTTAATAGCTCAGGAGATTAAGATTGTGCGCTTATCAATAAAATCATATAAATAAATAAGAACAGAAGGTTCTTACTTATTTAACAAAGGTACCGTGAAATGACTTTGACCAGTATAGATTCATAGCCCCCGCAGTTTTATAGAAATAACCTTTGAAAAAGTATTATGTAAATAAAAAGTTTAATAAGAAATAATAAAAATACTTTTATAAAACCATAAACTTTGCTCCCCCTAGATTTTTAAGTGTTCCGTGAGCCAAGTCTTTGATCAGTGAGGTTACACAACTGTAGTATTTAATATGACACCTAATTTTGAAACTTTGAAATTTTGAAACCTAATTTTGACACTTAATTTTTGATGTGTATATAATTTTTCATTTATATTTTGTATTAATTCAATTCATTAAAAAATGCCATCAACAAAAGTTATAAATATGTAACTCCTAGTGGTCAAAGTGGTATAACTGACCGAAGTTTTAAACACAATATAATGTAACTTAATTTAAAAAATTGACACTGTTTTCAAAAATACTTGGTTTTATTCATAAATCAGCATGACGATGTATCGTCTTTTTGATTACATTGTAACTAGATTAAAAAAAAAATTATTTAGGTAATGTAAGTTATTGTGCGTTAAGTGAAAACATTACACAAACATATTAAACTTTGCCGAAGAAAACATTACTTATTCTGATTAATTTTACTTACAATGAGTTCTACAAGTAATGCTTGCGTGAAAAAATAAGTTAAACTTAACATAAGAAAGTTTTACTTGAGTCATGTAATCCGACCGTTACCAAAGTAATGTAATCCAACCTTTACCAAAACCATCTGCTTTACTTAAGCATTCCTAAATTTGAACCAATTTGTCAACATCATAATAGATAGCAAAAAATGAATTGAATGACAAATGATTAGTTTATTTTTGTTTGAATTGAATGACAAATGTTTGGTTTATTTTTGTTTGAGTGGTTATTTTTATTTGCTTTGCAATATTTCATTAAAACTTTTTCTCAATCAAGTTTTTTATTTTGCATTTTATTATTTTGATAAAACTTCCAAAAATATAAAAAAAGTTATTTTAACTAATCCTGACAGTAATTAAAATCTTTTAATTAATTTTAATTAAAAATAAAATTAAGATAAACTAAATCTTCCAATCGCCAATTAAAATTTCTTTTCATCTGCCAATTAAATGTGCAAATTAAAACTGAATATCCAATATTTAACTTATTGGCTATTTGACGCTGAGATAGTCCTTGATTTTAAAGGAAAATAAATTTGTAACATGTTTTTTCAGAGATTTTCAACCATGATTTTGGAGTTTCATGCTGTATTACCTCGCTCGTTATGTAGCTTTTTTAATATCTAATTTATTTGTGTTTTCATCAGACTTTTATTTCTAACAGAAAGTCACTTTAAAATCTTTATTACAAGTGTTTTACAACTCATTTCTAAAATAATACAAAATTAGGAAAAATAAAAACAGCTGCTTTGAAGCTTTAAAGTATTATGTAATTTTTCATATATATTTTTAGATTATTATTATTTATTAATTGATCAGCTAAACTAATTTAAGTTATTTTTCTTATAGTTATTTAAAATTCTTTTGTTACGATATCAATATGCAAAAACATTTACCTCTGAATATACATATAAACATTAAATTTTATTTTAAATATTTTTTTTTTTTTTTTTTTTTTTTTAATTTTAATTCACCTCCTCAAGGCCGAGAAGGCCACTACAGACGAGGAGGCTACTTATTTGTGGCTATAACCCTCTCTCAACTCTATAACTCTGAAACACGAACCTTGACGAACAAGGCCGCTGCGCGGAGAAACGAGTTGAGCGCGGTACTACCAGGGACGTGGTGGGGATCGAACTCGGAACCACTCGTTTATGAAGCGAGCGCTCTACCACTACACCACTACCGCATTACCTAGTAACCTAGTAACTTAAAGTAACTTGAAATTTTTAATGATTTTAAACATTTTTAAATGATTTTCTGCGATGCCTGGAAGGAAGGTTTTATTATTTTATAAATGACAAATTATAATTCCTAAATGATAACATTATAAAATATGTTTATCTTAAATAATATTACTAACTAAGAAAAATTCAGATTAAAATCTTGAATATAAACAAAGAAAAAAAAATTAACATTATTTATTTATAATTGTTTATAATTTTTATTTGCACATATATTTGTTTTTGCACCTGTATGTTTTTGTATATACAATTAATAAGTATAAAAAATACAAAATATAAAAATACAAACTAATGACGTATAAAAATACAAACTAATGACGTATAAAAATGAAAACAAATGACGTATAAAAATGCAAACAAATGACGTAATAAAATACAACAAGTTTAAATTAAAATAAATACAAAATGTCAGTGCTTTTAAAAATTTATATTTTTAGGTTTTTGTTACTTATTTTAAAAATGCATAAATCTTCTGAGTCTCGTTTTGCTTTAAGTATTTTGCGTTAATTATCTTTAAGAACTTTAGATAAATTAACTAGAGTAAATAATCTTAATGTCATGAATTATTTAAAACTTTGAAAAATGATTATGTTCCTTGATTTCAAATTCATACGTTAAACTTACTTTGCAATCTATTACACACTTTGAAAAGAAGATTTTTGAAAAGAAGATTTTTCTTCAGAGTTAAACAAGCTGTAGTAAAAAACGGTTTATATGTTCATACACGGACATCTCCAATAACTTATTGCTTTTCATTATGTAAGTACTAGAAATACATACATACATACATACATACATATATATATATATATATATATATATATATATATATATATATATATATATATATATATATATATATATATATATATATATATATATATATATATATATATATATATATATATATGTGTGTGTGTATATATATATATATATATATATATATATATATATATATATATATATATACATATATATATATATATATATATGTATATATATATATATATATATATATATATATATATATATATATATATATATATATAATATATATATATATATGTGTGTGTGTGTGTGTGTGTGTGTGTGTGTGTGTGTGTGTGTGTGTGTGTATATTAGATCCCAGGAAACAAAACTCATTAAAACTTCTATAATTTTCTAAAGAAACTTTATTAATTTCTACGAAACATTCTTTTAATAAAATAATTTTTTTTTATTTAACTTTTTTTCTTCCTATTTTATATACAAAAAAATAAATTTTTTTGAAAAATAGTTTTTATAGATTTTCTTATAGAATTTCTATAGGCAATGTTTTGAACACAACAAACATTGTTTTAGTGGGTTTGCAGTGATCTATATTGGCATTTTGAGCGGTTCATTGTAATATAGTGGGCTACCCACTTTTGGCGGCTGCCACTAGTGGTCCATTTGTTGCTAATAAATACTAAGTAACCGATGAGCGAAACTACAGCGGACCGCTCAAAATACCTATACAGGTCCACTGAAATTTTTCAATATAGAATATTTGCTAGGAAGTTTATAGAATTTCCATTAAAATTTTACCTTTTTACATATATACCTTAACCTTTTTATAAAGTATAAATCATCCTGCCACTTTTTTATAAATCTCTATATATAAAAATGAAGGCGGGATGGTATTTTTTATTTACCGAATACCATCCTGTTACTTTTTTTCTGCAATTTGAGTACGGTATATATATATATATATATATATATATATATATATATATATATATATATATATATATATATATATATATACATTCTATAACAAAATTTTAGTGGGCTTATATAGGTACTTTTAGCGGTCTACTGTCATTTTGTTCATCAATTAGTTAGTGGACTTATAGTGGTAACCGCCAAAAGTGGCTAGCTGATGACTTGCCACTAATAACATGTTGGAAAGTTATCGGTATGCCATGGCAGTTTCAAGGGCTTTTTGTTATTTTTATTTAAGGTTCGCTACTAAAACTTTTATAACTTTTGGAATATTAGTGATAATTTTGTTCAGTAAAAAAATATAAATACCGGTAAAATGTTTTGTTTCATAAACATTTAATAAATTAATAAAAAATCACCTCAATTTTATAATAAACGTGGCATATGATGGACTTTGCTGAATTTTAGTAATTTGTTTTTACTTTTAATAATAAAAAAAAATCTGAAAAAATATATATTTCAGATATTTATTATCAAATATACTTATTGTTAGACCATTACAAAAGAAATTAAAACAGAAACTAAACCAGGCTTTATTTAAATCTGTAAAATAAATCATTATTTTTCTCAAAATTCAATTAAATTGCTTTACAAAAATGTCTTTATGGTTTTGTTTATTTTATATTTTAGAATTTGTCTCGCCGTAACAGTTGTTCTAATAAAATTCATTAGATAATTGCTTGGGATGTAAACACATTTAAGGTTACGTCATCGCTTTATAAGATAAACAAAAAATTAGACATACTTGTTGCTAAACATGCTTAGTTGAAAGTATAGTGCATAACATAGCTATAGGTACAGAAAATAAGTTATTTACTTTCATATACATTTAAGATTGATATTTTAACAACTTAAGTTACTGTTCAAAAATGTTAGGCTTTACATTTATAAATAATAAAACTTAATATACTAATGCAATATAAACAACCAGTGGCGGAACTACTGGACCCAGGACCCTGCGTTGCGGGTGGGCCTACCAGCTATAGGGAGCCCTCATATAAAAAAAGTTATACTCTCAATAATATTTATACTATAAAACTCTTTTCCGCAAAAAAACATTCTTTTGCGGGGGAGCCCAAATTTTGAAGTTCCGCCACTGTAAACAACACACAAAAATACACATAAGTAACTTGAAAATATGATAGAATAAATACTCATAAATAAGTGTTTTAAATTTCAACCATCAAGCATAAAGATAAGCTTGCGATCTTAGTTACATAGGTTCGTGCATTAATTACGTCATGCTTTCGGGGGTAGGGGTGTTAGTGGTTTTGTGACAACACCATATACCATCCATAAGGAAGACAACACCCAACACCATCCATAAGGAAGAGGAGAGGGTCAAAAACGGTAATAAATTGCGTGACATAAATTGTGGATGATTTTATGTTCGCGACCATACGCGATTATTTTAACAACATTTATTTTTATTCCGTTTAATGTAAACAATTATTTATCTAAAAAAGATTCATCTTTTATATATATATTTTTTTGAAGATGAAAACGTTTAAAGAAAAAAATACTATTGTTTTAAAGTTAGTGAATTTTTAAATTTTTTATGCGGAAATACTTTTTTTTTTTTTGATAAACTCGTGACGTCAAGCTCGCTTTTATATTGAGGAAACTACCGCGTTGCCATTTATTGCGGCTGTCACTAATGGTCTTCTAAGCAGCTGATAAACAAAATCTCGATGAACCGCTCAAAATATCTATATTGTTTTACATATATCTATATTGTTTTACAGCAATTCCACTAAAACAATGTTTGCTGGGTAGGTACAACTACAATATAATTATCAAAAATTGACATCTTAGATAGGTGTTTTTACTATAAGGAACAGTCTTAGTTGTAACACAATTATGTTACTTCAAAGAACAGTCTTAGTAGTTACATAATTTTCTATTAAACACCGCGTAGTTATCATAATTTAAAGTTAGCCAATCACATTACACTTATAACAAAAGTTATCCAATGATATTGTTTCAATACGTGCAAATAAAAGATGGAAGTTTAAAAAATTCGTAAACAATATTTAAAGTTAGTTTATATTTTTTTTTTGTTGTTGTTCTTTTTGAACAACTAATAATAAACTTCTAGATTAGAATTGAATTAATAAATGTCCAGATAAGAATAAGTAGTAATTATGCCAGATGTTTTATATCTCTATATTTAAATAAAGCAAATTGCTTTTAAATCCAACAAAACTACTAAAACACAAAATAAAAGCCTGGAGTCATTTAATAAGTGCCTGGCCGAAAGAACATTTTTAAAGAATGTAACAAACCTAGAGCTGAACAGGCAAGCAAAAAATAAGGTTCAAATAGGTAGTAAAGATTGTCTAAAACTTTAATATTTATACCTATATATGAGGTGTGCAAGAAACAATTGCTTTGCTTTAATCGTGATTTTTGTTGTAATTAACTTCTTAATTGATCGAACAGTTTTTAAAATTCTATCTAATAAACTTTTAAGAGATTAATCCACATTGATAAAAGTTTTCAAAGCTTACAAATTACATTTCAAAATTTTTTATTTTTTTGCAAAAGTGCTATTTAGACTTGCCGCTGGAATAATTATACAACAAAGAATATATCGGGTTTGAAATCATTTTTGGCTTCGTACTCCCTCCAGCTATTATATCTCTTTGATTTATTTTATGATTTACCAATTATCAAAGTCTTTTCCCCAGTGGACACGGACGTAAAAAAGACGTTTTTTAAACGTCTTATACACGTTTACATTATAAACTTACTTATTGATTTACCAATTATCAAAGTCTTTTAATGTCGCACCACAACGAAATTTCCGCCAATGTTAATTTTGTATCTCGCAATAAGATGATTGAATTTTCAATAAAGCTTATCTCTTCATATATTGATTTTGCTGTAATCCTTCACGATCCCGCTTACAATTAATACTAATGTTTGTTTCGATTTTTTTTTAAATTGAGTATCTTTTCTTCTAAAAATATAAGCCATCTTCTAAATATTGCAAGTTGCATTCTCTCAAAGTTTTAGTGACATAATACAGTTCTTAATTGGATAACAATTCATTTTTCTTTTTTGCAAGAACGCTGTATGTATTATTTTTCAAGAATTTTCAAAATTTTATATTGTTTTTTGAAAAGATCAGCCTAGATAAATACGGCCAATACATTTAGTACCGATATCTGTCCTTTGTTTTTCTGTAAAACGTCAAACTATGTTATCTTATACATTTTTTCTCGGCTAAAAGTGTTGATAATTTTTTTTTTTTTGAATTTTTAAGCTTTACTTTTTTCTTTAAAACCAAAAATCTACCTGAGCAATACAAATAAATGTTTCTGAATCTGTCTTTTGTTTTCCTATGTAAACTATGCTTTACTTCTTTTATTTTGTTTAAAGCTAAATCATACCTGGTTACTTTAACTACAGAACTAAAAAAAATTTTTATAGTTTATTAATAATGGTGAGTTTTTAGAAATTTTTTTTTTTATATATAAAAGAGATACACAGATCACACACACTAAATTCTTTTTCAGAGACGGAATCCTCATGATTCGTTCCTATTGTTTGTCTGAAAATAAGAATAAATGAATAAACAAATATGGAACAATAAATGGCAAAATGTGGCAAGTAATTTCTACACATCATTGAAGTCAAAACTAAAAAAGCTACCTGGAAATGTTTGGAAGTATTACTAATAACTTATAGTTTGCAATAAGTTTGCAAAAAACAAGAAAAAAAAAAAATTTTTACAAAACCCACTGTCATATATATATATATATATATATATATATATATATATATATATATATATATATATATATATATATATATATATATATATATATATATATATATATATATATATATATATATATATATATATATATGTATATATATATATATATATATATAAATATATATATATATATATATATATATATATATATATATATATATATATATATATATATATATATATATATGTATATATATATATATATATATATATATATATATATATATATATATATATATATATATATATATAGTAATAAATAATGTAATAAATATGGTAATTAAAACTTTTTAAATATTTTCAATAAAATTCATTACCAAACGCTTTGAAATATATGCTGATTAAACTATAATCGATGCCGATAATTGCTTTAAGAAAACTCAAAAAAAAACTTTGAAGATATCCTGCGGCTATCGTTAAAACCGTTTGCGGTTACTTTTTTCACCGACTAAGATTGCTAAACTAACTTTTATCTTTTTATTTCATATTTGACTTTATAAAAATCCCGGAAAGTTTTTTTATGAAAATCCCGGAAAAATACTTTATTAAATATTGATCGTATTAACAGAAAAAACTTTCGTAAACTTTTAAAACGGAATTTATAATATTTAACTTTTTACAAAAAAGAGTTTCTAAAATTCGAAAAGTTAATTTGAATAAATTAAAAAGCAAAAAAAAAAAAAAAAAGCAAAAAAATTGTTAGAAATATTTATCTTGTAAAAATTTTAATTATAAAAAACATATTTGTTTAAATGCAAAAGTTGTAGTATTTAAAATTTTATGTGAAAATATATAATTTTTTTTTCAAATTAATAGCAAAAAAACATCCGGAAATTTCTGGAAAATTGAAAGAGTTTTAAGTGAATTTCCGGAATTCCGGGAAATCCCAGAAAAAACTCATCTATGTTATTTGCAAGTCTAAAAAATTTCTCAAAATAGAGAATTTTTTGAAAAGTTGGCATCGAATTCGGAACACTAAATTCTAAAGCTTGCACTCTAACCACTGCGCCAACATAGCTAATTTATTCATTGCGCCAACATAACTAATTTATTCATTAGTTAGATAGTACAATTAGACGAAAAAATATATTGTAAAAAACACATGATAATTCATATAAAACCAAAATTTCAAAAAACATTACAATTATTTTAAAATAAGTAATAACAAATGTTGAATTTAATTTATTTTTTATTTATTAATTTTTTATTTATTATTATTATTATTATTATTATTATTATTATTATTATTATTATTAGTAGTAGTAGTAGTAGTAGTAGTAGTAGTAGTAGTAGTAGTAGTAGTAGTAGTAGTAGTAGTAGTAGTAATAGTAGTAGTAGTAGTAGTAGTAGTAGTAGTAGTAGTAGTAGTAGTAGTAGTAGTAGCAGTAGTAGTAGTAGTAGTAGTAGTAGTAGTAGTAGTAGTAGTAGTAGTAGTAGTAGTAGTAGTAGTAGTAGTAGTAGTAGTAGTAGTAGTAGTAGTAGTAGTAGTAGTAGTAGTAGTAGTAGTAGTAGTAGTAGTAGTAGTAGTAGTAGCAGCAGCAAAATTGCAGCAGGTTTCCCTATATAACCTACAGGTTTTGGCAACCTTATTTACTTCATACTCTAATTTTATTCATATAAATATATAAAAATTTACAATAAAATATATAGTATGAAGTACAAGTTTGTACTTTATTGTTTTTTTGTTTTTTTTTAGTTATAATCTCGATACTTAGGCGGATTATTTGAAATGTCTGCATCAAGCTGAGCCTTGAAACAGTATTAGTATTGTATTAGTAATTATATAATTGTTTGCCAAACACGCACCCCTTTATTCCCCTATCCCCTCCCTCTCTAACGCATTTTTTTTTATAAATTTTACTTTAAATTGTAGTTCTGTATCTAAATTTAAATATGTTGCTTGCTTTTTTAAATGTATTTATTATAAATGTATTATAAAATGTAACATTATATATTTGAAAATTAATTTTACATGTAACATTATATACTTGAAAATCATTCATACAAATTGTATTATTTATTACCCTATTGATCTTAAACTTCTTTCATCTTTCAATAAATTCACAAATAATTATTTTTACTTTTAGCTGCTTTTAAAAATTAAGAAAAAATGAATTGCACATACTTTTATATTGACAATCTACGTCATCATATATTATACATAAAAGTGCAAAATGCTGTTATGATTACTATGGTAGTTATTGGAATCATATTTAATCTATTTACAATAGCTGTTACATTAAAAAACAGAGAAGCATGTCATTGTTCTACGGCCAGGTTGTTTCTATCAAGTTATGTTGGAAACGTATGTGGATTAATTTCAATGGCACTTAGCGGTGTATATGACCTTAAAAAAGGGATTCCAAATATGAGTTGTCAACATGCAACCGACTATCATTTTTTACTTTATATTGGATTCACCGTCAATATGACTATTCTTGTAAATTCAACATATGATCGGTACCAAGGGGTTTCTAATACAAAAAAAAATATCGTTCGAATAGAAAGCAGTAAAAAATTATTTTTTCGATATGCGCTACCTTCATGGATTTTTTCAGCTCTCATTTCTTTGCTTTTCACAGTACTAATGCGTTTCAAAATTTTGTATTTTGATCGAAACATTGTGTGCGCTATAATAGGTATTACTCCAATGTTGGCTTGCATAGGATTAAACATACATCTTAAATTTTTCCTAATTAAAATGATGAAAAACGCACAAGTAACTAAAAAAAACGATTCATTGAAAAATATTTCAGTTGCTATATCAATGCTTCGATTAACGACAGTGTGTCATTGCATCTATCTTGTTGCTGGTTTTGTTGTCTTATACTTCCAAAGAAAGTATGCTAACAACACAATAGTATATTTAATATTAGAATGGATATCTCGGATGCTGTACGATCTTATGTTTACAATCGAAGCAAAAGCATTTTTTATTAAACATCCAGCGGTTAGAAAAGATATATGTAAATTTTTCAAACGACTTTGCTTCAAAAAAGAAACATATAACTCCGTTAATTTAAAGGCGAAAGAAAGTTTTACATCATCATTTTATGTCAGCTAAGAATCTAATAAGTCACGTGGCTTCAAATTTAAAACTTTGTTGGCTGCATTAAACCAATAACTTTAATATGTCGGCTAATAACCCATGAATAAGAAAGATTTCTTTGTTGTATTATTTTTACTATTTTATTATTTATTAGTTGTGTAATTTGGTGAAATCTAAGCAATCAGAGGTCTAGCTATTTATTTATTTTTTTAAATTACTTCACTATTAATACTTTATTTTATCTTTATTCCCACTAATATGCTTATTTATTCATTTATAAAGTTTTTGATGCTTTTTTGCATCATTTTAAGGAGGGCTTGATTCAAAATCGGTTCGTTTATTGGGACAAGCTGTACAACCAAAAATATATTAATATATATTAGTGTTATATATAAATCGTATTTTATATATATATATATATATATATATATATATATATATATATATATATATATATATATATATATATATATATATATATATATATATATTTTATATATATATATATATATATATATATATATATATATATATATATATATATATATATATATATATATATATATATATTTACAAGGCCGTCGTAAGTGCGGGGCAAAAGAAGCATACATGCCCCGGGCGCTATGATGATAGAGGCGCCAGAAGGCAACGGGCAAAAATCAATTATAGAAATGCCAAATATTGAAATTTTAACATTTTTTACTTTTTCTATTGAGTATAAAGTGTCTTTGAATGTTACCAGGGCTGTCTTGAAAGGGGTTGTAGGGGTGTCCCCTTCCCCAACGCTGTCATACATGCATTTGAGTTAATAACTTTTGAACCACAGTTGGCAAATTTTAAAATATCTAGGACCTTTTTTTTCTTTTTGGTGTCTCTAGTAGGCAAAAAATACATACAACACCCCTTCACCTCCCCCTCCCCCCTCCATGAGTGACCACTTCGGGCCGGCTCTGTATAGAGGAAAGGCATCTATGATGGCAGGTCGCCTATGATGACATACCGGTCATATTTCCATAAAAATTGGTTTTGGTGAAAAAGTGATTAGATCTACATGACTATACTGACTTTACATTAGTTTTAGTAAAAATAAGTCCCTTTTGCACAAATATTGTTTTTATAATTAAGAAAAATCGATTTTGGGATGTGCTGTTGTAGTTTTATTCCCTTCATATGTTTAAGATAGTGATTTTATTATTAACTTTGCAAAAAGGGAATTTTCATGCATTTTGTATCCAAGTTTTGTGCATTTTGTAGAATATTTACTTTAATTTTATCTTTTGAACAAGGCAGACACAGCTTGTTTTAATGAAAATGATGACTTTTTCCAATGATGGCATACTGACGATCTGGGTGTGTTGCAATATTGACGAGTTGGGAAAATTTATTTTTAAGTAAAGTAAAAAAATAGCGATGTTTCAAAAGTTTTTTTTTGGTCATAAAACGCAATAAATCCCATGCGCATGCGCGAAACTTTACAATGCTGCTGTGTAACATGAAATGGTAAATTAGGATAGTTCCGAGTAATTTCTAGCTTTTCTGAGGTTAAAGGAAATCATCAAGTTACCCTTGATTCTAACCAGCCCCATCCTCCCCTATGTCATCATAAGAGCAGTAGTTGCCTATGATGGCATACTTGTACTTTTTTTTTAAATAACTTATAAAAATAACAAAACTGATAAAAATTCCGAGGGTTATTATTGTTTTACATGTAACAAGGAATGCATCCATATTAAAACTTTTATTATTGGTCTTTAGGATACTGAATAATAAAACTTTAAAGTTAAGTATGCCATCATAAGTGCCTTTCCCCAATAGGATCTATTAATATTTTAGGGTAATTTAAATCCAACTCTGTGTAAAGTTAAAATGGCTTTTTAACCTTAAATAACATGATGAGACTTTATTTACAAAAAAAGATAAAAGTATTGTTTTTGTTGATTGTGCATAGCAATTAACATTATTGATATTACCAAAAAATTAAAGTTTTAAATAGTTTATATTTCTTCTTTGTTTGGCTGCAAAAAAAAATTTTTTTTTTTTGTTATTTTTTATTGACGACATTACAGTAGACACGAAATCTTATCCGAATAAAACATTTTATCGTTAAACTTTGTTAAGATATTTTTAGAAAAAAAGTTATTTCATAAATATTTTGTTTATAACTTATATTTCATAAGTAACTTTAAGTTCATAAACTTATATTTCTTAAACTTTATACAGTCTCTTGCAAAATGTTAGAATCGGTTAAGTATTTTTAGGTAAACCCATAATTTATTGAAAAGCGCATACACAAATGACATACACAAAGCAATTAGGTAAATCCGTAATTTATTGAAGATGACATACATATATACACACACACACACACACACACACACACACACACACACACACACACACACACACACACACACACATATATATATATATATATATATATTATATATATATATATATATATATATATATATATATATATATATATATATATATATATATATATATTGCATACATTATTTGGCTTGAGCCAATTATGTGTATAGTAACGTATTGCACCTTCTAATATCGTGTGCAATCCTGTCCGCTATCTCTATGCTCTATGCTCTATGCTCTAACTCTATGCTCTATGCTCTAGCTCTACTTCTTCTGTCTTTCACTCTAACATATCTTTGTTCTTCCCAAATTCACTTACTCTTGGTCCGTAGAGCGGGTTATGACGCTCCTTGAGGAGCCGAACTTGTCTTTGCGGGCCTTGGTAATGTGGCCTCTATATGGCAACTAGCCGGAGGAGGATAAACCACAATACCTACATAAATAACATACTCAAAGCTAAAATTTCATTTATGTTATATGCATACATGTGTAAGTAGAAAACATTAATTAAATTTTATAAGATTTAATTAATGTTAACGATGCATATAACATAAATGAAATCTTAGCTTTGTTTATGTCATTTGTGTATGTCATCTTCAATAAATTATGGATTTACCTAAAAATACTTAATTGATTCTAAACTTTCGCAAGAGATTGTATATTTCATAAATACTGTTTTTACAGAATTTATTTCATAAATGCTAAAAATAGAAAAATAGGCTCTATGATGAGACCGTTAGGTCTTCTTGTAGCACCCTGATAACTAAAGCAAACAAAAAATCTTAAATATGGGAATAATATGGCAATAAATTATAATTTTTCACCTCTTCCAGATTGAGAAAAACTTCCAAAACTTGACGAAAAAGGCATAAAAAGCTAATCTCTTGATGTTTATATCATATAGTCAGGAAAAAATTTTCCGGATCTTGCAAATCTCAAATGTGGATCATTGTCTCATTCTCGCTGGCTTACAACAGGTATGGCTTTGATGTTTTTGTGGACAAAAAACAACTTTTTATACAATGAGTTGGAGATCTTGAAAATATTTGTTGAGTTCCACAGGGGTCTATACTGGGGCAACTCCTTTTTCTCGTCTATGTTAATGATCTGCATAATGCCTCAAATTTAACGACAGTGATGTTTGCCGATGACACTAACCTTTTTCTGTCCAGTAGTGATATTGTTACACTTTTTAATGACATAAACATAGAGTTAGTTAAAATTTCAAATTGGTTTAAGACAAATAATTTATCAATTAACTTAGAAAAAACTCAATGGACTCTATTTCATCCTAAATCTAAAAAAAACTTTTACCAAATAATATGCCTCAAATATATATTGACAATGTTCAAATAAAGCAATCAAAAGTTATACATTTCTTTGGTGTTTTCATTGATGAAAACTTAACATGGAAAAATCATATCGAAACATTATGCAATAAAGTCTCAAAAAAATATTGGAGTGTTGTATAAAGCGAGAAATTTTGTAAATAGACATGCATTAATTCAACTTTATTACTCGCTAATCCAATGACATGTAAACTATGCTAACATTGCGTGGGGTAGTGCTAATAATAGTCAATTAGAACCTCTTTATCGGCAACAGAAGCATCTAGCACGTCTAATAAATTTTAAAGATCGTTATACTCATGCAAAACCTCTTTTAATAGACATGAATATTCTTAATATATATCAACTAAATGTTTTTAATGTTCTTTGCTTTATGTACAAATGTAAGATAAACTTAACCCCAATATTTTTTCAAAATTTATATGCAATAAAGCCAAGAAACAAATATGAATTAAGAAATAACAATCTTATTCATCAACATTATTCGCACACAAATTTTGGAAGATCTCTTATATCATATCGCGGAGCTTTTCTGTGGAACCAAATAGTGTTAAAAAACTTTGATTTTTCTAAAAATTGTAGTTTTCTTACTTTCAAAAATAAATTGAAAAAAGTTATCTTGACAATTGATAACATCTTCGAGTTTTTTTGAATATTTTATTTAAATATTTAGTTTTATTACATATTTTGACATTTTGTAACGGTATTTTATGTTTGGTTTTGGCTTATTAAAAATCTTGTATTGTAAATATCGGTATTTTGTTTTTATTTATTTTGTATCGCATTGTTAAACGGTTCTCGGTGACAGGATCTTGCCATCCTCTTCGAGTTTCCGTGTTCTTTTTATTTTATGTAAAACGATATTATACCAAATAAAATTGTAATAAGAACAAAAAAAAAAAAAAAAAGTTTAGCGTCAAAATATTATTTAAAACTGTACTTGAAATTTCACCCAACAACTGCTGAAAGACGGACTAAGCACATTAAACTTAAAATTTTTAAGACGCTCCCAGTCATTGTGGTGAACATTTTCACACCATATATACAAAATAAGCCTTGGTTCATAGAGTTTATTCTAATTTTGCTCTTGACTAGCTCCAAAGAAATTGAATGAAATTTTTGTGTTGATAAGATTTTATAAACTAGAGGAAATAATGAGACTCTGTTGTTTGAAAAAGATTATCTCCAAAGATTAACAGAACTAATCTTCAAGAATTAAGCTTTTGGAACCTAAAATATTGTTATGAATCAATACCCAGATAACATATACACATTGGCCCGACGTCGGCACAACATAGGCTTTTACAGCGGCCGATGATAGTTTAACTACGTCAGGACAACGTAGCTTTTGCTCATCAGAATGATGTAGGCCCGATGTCGTCGGGCCAATATCAGTAAAACAACGTTGGGCTGATATCAGTAAAATGACGTCGGGCCGAGATCAGTAAAAGGACATTAACCCGCTTTAATTTTGATCAGTAAATGAGATTACAAAAGCGACTATTATTCATAGCGATTATAAAATAGAATATGAAATTATCGAAAAACACATAATAAAACGACGAAATAATAATTTTTTTTTTCTATTATTATATAAATAAATATATTTTTTTCTATTAACTATTTTTTATACAATTTAAATAATTGTTAAATAATAAAAATATAAAAAATAATTAACAGCAAATATTTCACATACTTTTGAAGCATGTTGGTATACAGTTCGCCAATTATACAATAGATTTAATGTTATTGTTATAACTACGATATAGTTATAACTACGATGTTTCTATGGTTTGTAACTAGGGCGTTTCTGCGTTTATCCATCTTCAGTGTTTAATGAAGCATTGTTCTTAATCAGAATATATCTTACTTACTCAAAAAAGTGAATTAATATATTAGTCTGGAAATAAAACTTTAATGCAAAATCTTTCAAAAATTTATACTTTCTATCATACCCATGAAGTATTATCACAGTTTGAAACACGTTAGTCATAAGATTTCAACTACTCTTTACTAAGATTTATTAATTCTAAATATTAACTTATTTAATCTAAAGTGAAACTTAGTATGAATAATTACAAAATCAACATATAAATCAATTTGCTACTATTCAAAACTTTCACATTTAATATTAAATTGTTCCAGAAAAAGTAGTGACTCCAGAAAAAAAAGATAAAAAATATTGCGTATATATATATAAATATATATACGCAATATTTTTTATCTTTTTTTTCATGCTTAGAGCATAAAAAAAAGATAAAAAATATTGCTTACTTGCTTAGAGCCGGGCCTATATATATATATATATATATATATATATATATATATATATATATATATATATATATATATATATATATATATATATATATATATATATATATATATATATATATATATATATATATATATATATATATATATATATATATATATATATATATATATGTATATATATATATATATATATATATATATATATATATATATATATATATATATATATATATGTATATATATATATATATATATATATATGTATATATATATATATATATATATATATATATATATATATATATATATATGTATATATATATATATATATATATGTATATATATATATATATATATATATATATATATATATATATATATATATATATATATATATATATATATATATATATATATATATATATATATATATATATATATATATATATATATATATATATATATATATATATATATATATATATATATATATATATATATATATATATATATATATATATATATATACAGGCCCTAAGCATGTTCGAAGTGTGCAATGCACAGAGGCGTCGAAAATTAAAAGGCGCCTACAAGATTATATGAAATATAAATTTAATACAATACGAAATTATATTTTTTTAGTTTTTAATTTTTGTAAAGTAATTTTTTCCTTTTTTTATAAATAAAAAGGCGCCTCCAAATGGTTTTTTATTACCAAAGAAATGTTAATTTCTATTTTTTTTAAATTTAGATAAGTAATTTTTATGTGGCGCCACATAAAAATGTTCTCAGTTAATTTTCATTTTCACACTTTGAAAAGAAATTTAAATTTTATAAGTAAGTGAATTTGAATTATAATACTGAAAAATTAAATATTAAAAATATTTGCTGTAACATGGATCGGAAACGGAAATTGTCTGGTTGGCAAAACAAACAAAATAGGGAAAACAGGCTGAATGAGCAATTTAAAAATCAAAAAACGTTGAACAGCTTTCTCCAAGTTAGGTTGAATTTGCAAATTCAATTATAGTTTCCAAAGGTCCAATACAAGCTAATATTAACCAGTACCCAAAAGTCAGTTTGGGTATATCATTTAACAAAATACTATTTCATCTAAAAACAGAAAATGGTGAATTACTTAAAATAACCTTGGCTTGTATATTCATCCAAAGAGATCGGTGTTCTGTTTTTGTTGTAAAATATTTAGTAGCGATGAATTTGCCTAAGCAAAAGGAGGAACAAATGATTGGGGCCACATAACAATAATTTTAAAAAGACATGTGCAAATGACTGAGCATTTTCAATGCTATGGAAAGTGGATTGAGCTTAAAAACGGCTTTCTTGTAGTCAAGCCGTTGATTGACTAGCTAATAAATTATACTTGAGTGAAGTAGAACATTGGGATGAAGTGTTCAAGCAAATAATCTCAATTATTTTAATGATGGCCTCAGAAAATATTGCATTTAGAGTATCTTCAGACAGAATATTCACCGAAAATAATGGTAAATTTTTTAAAATTGTTGAGTTGTTTTCAAAGTTTGATCCGGTGTTAAATAAACATGTTAAACGAGCAGTAGAATATCCAAAAAAGCCTCATTACTTGGGAAAAAATATCCAGCAAAAAATTATTTTATTGATTGCTAAAGCTACAAAGGATAATATTTTGGAAATGGTAAAAAATGCAATGTATTTTTCCGTTATTGTAGACTGTACACCCGATCCCAGCCATAAAGAACAAATGTCAATTGTTCTGCGTTTCGTTCACATAACAAAATCAACCAAAGGTAGTAATGCTAGTGTGGAAGTTAAAGAAAGTTTTTTGAAACTTATTAACATTTTGGATTCAATCGGAGCGAAGATGACCGAAGAAATATTAACTTTTTTGACACAAAATGGCTTATCAATTCTGAATCTTCGTGGTCAAGGCTACGATAATGGAGCCAATATGAGTGGAAAAATAAACGGTGTTCAGGCTTACATTATAAACATAAATCCAAGGGCTTTCTTCATTGCATGTTTCTGCCACTCCTTAAATTTAGTCGTTGTTGATGCAGTGCAAGGAGCTATTGAAACTATTAATATTTTTTCAACCGTCCAAACAATTTACAATTTTTTTCTCAAGATTGCCAAAGCGTTGGCATATTTTCATATCCATGTTTTGTAAATTGACAATAAAATCATTAAATAATACACGATGGGAAAGCTATGTTAATGCTATTAGTCCTTTGAAAAGCGGATTGAAATGCATTTATTCAGCGTTAAAAGAAGTCGCTCAATTGGAAAAAGATGCACTTACACGCATAAAAGCTAAATCAATGGCATCAAAAATAGACAGTTTTGAATTTATTTGTGGTCTAATAATCTAGCAAGATGTTCTATCAGAAATAAATTGTACGAGGAAATTATTACAACCGCAGAGCATGGATGTGAGATCAGCAGGTAGCATGTTAAAAAAAACAACTGAATTTTGATTTCTCGTAATTCCGAAGTTTCTTTCGCTAAATATATTTCAGAAGCTAAAGTATGCGTTATAGATGCGGATTTAAATAACGATTTTAGGCCTGAGGTAGAAAATCGGGTCCGAAAAAGAACGCTTTTTTTTGGAGAGGAGCCAGAAGCACCCAAGTCCATTAATCCTAAAATGAAATTCAAAAAAAAAATTTTCGATGTATTATTGAGAATAGCAATTTCTTCAATGTAAGAGCGTTTTGAATCATTTAAAAGTGTTATACTACCTTTTGAACTTTTGTATGATATTGAAAAGTGTGATGAAATGGAGAACAATGAACTCATAGATAAATGTAAATTATTAGAAACAACATTAACTTATAAAGAACACAAAGATCTTGACGCAAACGAATTACAAATTGAGCTAAAGTTGCTGTCTCGAATAATTGAAGATGATACTAACCCAGAAAACATTTTGAAATGGATTTATAATAACAACAACAACAACAACGACAAGATATTTATTTTCCTTTTCAAAATTTACATATAATCATACAATAACAATAATAATAACAATATTATCTATAATAATACAAGCAATATAATTATAATGAAATATAACTAATAAGAATAAATATAAATAATTATTTGAAAAGGAAGGTGTCACTCAAACAGAAGCCTGATCAAAGGAGTGACACCAAATAATTATAAAAATAATAATTAAAAAATAATAATATTATCTATAATGATACAAACAATATAATTATAATAAAATATAACTAATAAGAATAAATATAAATATAAATAATTATTTGAAAAGGAAGGTGTCACTCAAACAGAAGCCTGATCAAAAGAGTGACACCAAATAATTATAACAATAATAATTAAAAATAATAATATAATCTATAATAATACAAATAATATGATGACGTGAGTGTCACTCATGATTAAAATGAGTGACACCAATTAATTATAACGATTAGTATAATAATAAAATAATAATAAAAATAACAAATATGAACCGAAAATCGATAAGAAAATAAATTAAAAAAATGATAACAACGATAAAGCTAAAATAAGTTAAATAATAAGACAAAAAATATGGAAACACTCAATAACAACAGCAAACAAAAATAAAAATAATTAACAAAACAGAACAAACCTTACAAAAACGAAAAAGCAAAACACAAAAACTACTAGATGAAACACAAAAACTACAAAACGAAAAGACAAACACAAATACTTCTACAAAATAAAATTAAATTAAAAAATAAGGAAAAACTTTAGTTACTTTTTGCGAAATAAAAAGAAAAGGTGTAGAAAATTTGGTAAAATAGAAAAACAGAAAACAACAATAAAAATAATTAGCACAAATAATAACAAACTTCACGCAAACGAAAAGAGAAACACAAAAACTACAAAACGAAATGCATACACAAAATGATAATATTTAACAAACATAATATTTAATAAAAATAATTAATGGTAATACTATAATATTAGTTAATAATTAATATAATAATAAAAAAAAATAATATAACAAATATCACATATTTGTCACAAAAAAAAGGTGAAGAAAAATTGGTTGCGATTTTTTACGTTTTAATTAGTTCTTTTAATTATTATTTCGAACATTTTTCGAACTTTTTTCTTTTGAATTGGTACTTTGCTGTTAATTGATTTTTTTTGTTATGTTTTTTTTTTTTTTTTTTTTCTTTTATTTATTTTTTTGTTTTATTTTTTCTTCAATCTTTTAGCTCGTTTAAACCCTTCAATTATTTTCTTTTTTTACATTATTTCTAACTAATCTTTTTTATTATTTAAAAATTTCCTTCACTTTTCCTTTACTCTTTTTTTCCTTTTCACCATAATTTAAATACTTCCGCCATTTGCGATGTCATTGCATTTTGCAACGTTGAAGAACTCTTTCCAAATGGGCTGATTGCATTAGGAGTGCTATTTACTTTGCCCGTTTCTGTTGCTAAAGGTGAAAGAACTTTTTCTAAATTAAAATTGGTTAAAAATTACCAGCGATCAACTATGGGGCAAGGAAAATTGAATGGTTTGGCAATAATCTCCATAGAATCGGACATTGCCAAATCTATTAACCTAGATCTGTTGCATAAAGATTTTGCTAAAATCAAAGCCAGGCGAATCCCTTAGTAGTAAAGTTTAATATTTTATGCAATATTTTTTATGTTTTATTTAAACATATTTTTTTGTCATGTTTTTCTAATTAATTTTATTTTCGTTTTTTTCCTGTTATTACTTGGATTATTTAAGTTTTGTTAATTTTTTTTTGATTAATAAAAAATAAGTTTTAATCACAACTCTGGTTGTTTAATTTTTTTGTCATAAATGAATTTAATTTGCCTTAAAATTATAATCAAAATATTATAGTTTATAAACTATAAACCTATTTTAAAATTATTTGACAGTTACAAATCATAAAACATTGTACCTTGTAACAATTGTACCTTGGCTAATAGTACTTTATGGCTAATATGGCTATGGCTAATAGTACCTTATTGAAAAAAAAATCAAAGACGCCCCACACACACACACACACACACACACACACACAAAGACGCCACACACACACATAAACCACGAGCCGGGCTTATATATATATATATATATACATATATATATATATATATATATATATATATATATATATATATATATATATATATATATATATATATATATATATATATATATATATATATATATATATATATATATATATATATATATTATATATATATATATATATATATATTAAAAAAAATGGAACTAAAAAATATTCATATACCCAAGATAATATTTTTTTGCAATAATGCAAATGTGGCAAATTGTTTTTATTCGTCTTCTACATTATTTACAAGTTTGTCGTTCAACTTTAATTTTCTCCGCCTACCTAAAGTCCAACACTAATAAGACTAATTGCTTATAATTATTTTTCGTTGAAATTTGGTAAGGTCATAGAAAATGCATGAAGCAAACTATTTTAATATTAAAAAAAAATGGTTTCTATATTTCTTCAACTACAAATCCATGTGATAACATCAACCAAGTTTTCATGCAAAACTCTCAGCAAAATAATCCATAAAAAAGTATGGTAGCAATACACATTATATAAAAATCTAGCCTAACTTTTCTTCTTTTCAAAAGATGTCAAGGTTTATATATATTTCTAAAAAGAACCACCTCAAAAAACCGTTTGCCTAGGGCTACCTAAAAAAGTGGTATACTTGGTATAAAAATAATTAAACTAATTGCTTTTTTTTTTTTTTTTTTATTGAAATTTGGCATGTACATAGGAAATGCATGAAATAAATTATTTAAATAATAAAAAAAGCTGATTTGACATTTCTTCGACCTTAAATTCATATAAGAACATCAACCTAAAATTTAAGAGCAAAATATCCCATAAAAAAGTAAGGATCCTTACTTAAAAGTCTTTAAAAAATCAAGATTAGCTTTTCTTCGTTCCAAAAACGTGTGTATATATATATTAAATAATGTCAATTCCAATGCTTAAACAAATAAAAAAATGTAATAAAAACAACGCAATAAAAAAACCTAATAAAAGAAATAGTTCTCTTCCATTTAAATAAAAATAGTTCTTCCATTTAAATAAAAATAGTTCATTTCCATTTTTTATACTTTAAATGCTAAATTATAAAAAAAAAAGTACCAAAAAGTATATGTAAACCTAAAAAAACGTAATAAAAATAGTAATAAGTTAAGTATTTTGATCAAAAGTTTATCAAGAATTTTTCTTTTACAGTTTTGACTAAAAATACAGACCAAAAGTAGTATTTTTTTTACCAACTATTTACTCTAGCCATAAATACTGTTTTAATATTTTAATTGTCTACATTATTTATTAAGTATTTCAGCAACAAAAAATTAGAAATAATATTAAAAAAAGAAATTAAACCAAAAATAATTGGATAATATTAAACTAATTAATTTAACCAACTGTTCAATAGTTTAAAAATTAACTCGAGAAAACTTGCACACATTGGCCCGACGTCGGGCCGACGTGTTATATTTGGCTAGAAAATTTACTTCGGCATAGCTAAGTTTTAAATGTGCATTGTGGTTTTCTGCGCTTTGCTTACTCAATTGTTGAGTAAGCTAAGCGCAGAAAACCACAACGACAATTTAAAACATTACATTTCCTACGTTATACCGACGTAATTTTTCTTTCTGATATAAAACACGTTTGCCCGACGTCGAACCAACGTGTTCATGCTATCTGGGTAATTTTTTGAATATCAATTAGTAACGTATTTTATCTAATTTACTTATGTCCGTTTAATCTTTGCTCTAAATATTTTATATCCTTTTTTTCGGTTGTTAGCTGAGTTTAATTTTGAAAAAGAAGCATCTTATTGAGACCATCGAGTTAGCTTATGAAAGAACTATCGAGACCATCGCTAATAAGAGAACCGAAGAACATCATTGCAGTGAATTCGTTTATATTTGATATAGGCATGAATCTGTTAATAAAACAAAATAAACAAACAAGTTTATTTCTGTTTGATTTACATTAAACTTTAAAACGACATTAAATTTTTACTGCTGCTTGAAGTACCACTTAACATCTTTTAAAAATATTCTGAAATATTTCAAAAATTTCTATAAGATAGGTTTTGTTAAAAAAACTTATTTTGTCAGAGAATAAGCTTAGAGCTTAACAGTAGTACTTATGTTATTGGTTATAAATTATATTAATATTGATTTTGTGCATTAAGTATTTATCGATTAAGTATTTATAGAAAGATTAAGTAATTATTAAAAAGCTAATTATTATTTAGATTTTTTAGGATAATTCATACTATATTCTAAACAGTCCTGTTTATAATTAACCGCATTATTAGTTGGAGAAATTTAATTGGTAAAACTGCTAACCATTTTTAGTGTAAGCCGCAACCCATTGATAACATTTGCCAAGCTGTGGCGACCCCAATAATAAACTTGTAAGGTTGCTCCTAAATCACAATGTTTTTGCAACTAATTAATATGTTTTTTGAATTTTAAAATTCTGATTTTATTTATATTTTATATTTTTTAGGCACCATATTTTTTTGTTATAAATATTTTATAACTTATTTTGTAATAGTTCATCAACAAAATAATTATATGTTTTTTTGTTATAAATTTTTTATAATTTATTTTGTAATAGTTTATCAACAAAATAATTATATGTTTTGGTTAATATTTGCGAAGGAATAAATGTTTCATAGTAAACATTTTATAAGACCTCAACTTTAAATTTTCGATTCTGTATGACTCTTAAATATAGAATGTAGATTGCACAATACTGCCTTAAAATATTGTAAACTTTACAATATTTTAGTAGGCATTTTGCAATGTGCAATTAAAAGTCACACAAAATTGAAGCTATAAACTTAAAAGTTCAGGCTTTAGTTAATACAGCTTGAAAATAAAATAAAGTTGAAGAAAATAAAAAATTGATTAAGATCAATTATAACAACAAAAATGGTGGAGTTGTAAAATCTAAATAGCGTCAGTAAGAAGTCTGCGGTGGCTACTTTCTAGCCAAATCATAAATTCTTGGAGTGGTCATTGCAAAAGTACAATTGCAACAAGTCTCCTTTTGTATTTATACTTGATAACCAAAAAGCTTAAAAAGTCTGTTTCATAAAGGTATGTTTTTAGAAAAAGAAGAAACAAGTGCAAAAAGATCTGAGAATGAACAGTATACGACTGCAAACACATGATCTAATATTTGTTAATTGACATTGAAGAGAAAAATTATTTGTTGCATCATTGCTATTAAAAAGTTAAAAAAACTCCTCTTTATATTCTCAAGAACATTATCAACTCTGACGGTAAATAGACTTCTAGTAAGCACAAATGGCGTGTCAAGTAAATTTAGAAAATATCTTAAAATTTCTTCTTCGAAAATTTTAAAGTGTTTTTTGACAGAAAGTATTATTCTTTCAATTGTTTCATGAAACTCATTTTTGAATTCGTCTTCATTAATATACCTCACGTAAATCAGTAACTGAAAGTATTTTGCCACATCATACATGTTGATTCATCAAGTTCAATGCAAGGGGAGCAGATTTAGTTTCATGGATTACCTGCTCAAGGATATCAGCAGACATGTCAATTATTATTCTACTAATGATGTGATTAGACAAGAATATTGTGTTCAGTTTGTTAACATATTTAACTCCAAGCATAATTCGAGCAATGTCTTTGGTTACTGTCAACAGTAAATTTTTGACTATGAAGTGAGGTTTCTTGGCTCTGGCGTCTCTCACCAAATATAAAGCTTCGATGGCTGCTGCATTTTGCTGTTGTTACTGGCCACGAGAATCAAGTTTGCTTTTCTTGAATATACTAAATGCTAAACATATTTGCCTGCATAGTTAGGATGTTTAGTTTTAAAATGGCATTTCAGTTTGTTTTTTTCATGGATTTAATTGACATAATTTGGTTACAAATAAACACATTGTGGTTTTTCAATTCCTGCTTTAAATATGAAAGTAAAGTACTTTAACTATTCATCACTATACTTTTATAAGGTCAAATAACGACCCCGGCGAATTATCAGGCAACTCCTAATGGGGTCGCTTTCTACATTTTAGGAACTGCTGTACTAATATAAAGTAAACACCTGTCAAATTTGAAAATATAAATAGAGATAATAATGATAACAGTAATAACAACAATAAAAATAAAAATATTTATCATGATAAAATTATTTATTATGAGAATAATATTTATTATGATAAAAATACAGTACTGATAACAATAATAGTGATGCATACTAACAAAAATAATTTAATTTAAGAAAGATTAAATTAATAAATTTGATATAAGATATTTAAATTTATAACATTAAAAATATTAGTTTTATATTTTAAGAATGACTTAAGTGATCTTATTTGGGAAGCGAGAATACTCCATATTTGTATGCTTTTATGTTGTATGGATTCATAGCCATAATGAATAGCTCTATATTTAAATAGTCTTAAAGTTGCAAGCAGATTACAATTTTTCCTATAAATAAAAAAGTTTATAAATGTAAAGAAGTTAGTTATTATGATTTTCTTTCCAAACAAACAGGCAACTTGATAGTTAAATAGGTTCACATAATTTAAGGAACTTAGATGAAAAATAGAGTATGCTACAGTCATTTTGCTATGGTAAAAAAAAAAAAAAAATTTCAACATATTAAATTTTTGTAAAGCTTAGAGACAATCTATACAGCTTGATTTTTTAAGACTTATCTTCAAAATAAAGTTAATTTATTATAAACTTAATAAAGTAGCCGTAGAATACTCTATTTTTTTAAATCTAAATTCCTTAAATTAGCTTTTGCATTGCATTCTAACCCAGTGGGCACAGACGTTAAAATGACGTCTTTTAGAAGTCTTATACACGTTTTGGACGTCTTTTGAACGTTTTGGACGTTTTTTGAACGTTCAAAAGACGTCTTTTTTAGGACCGGTGCCCACTGGGATGACTTACAAGTCTTTGAATGTGATGCAAAAGATAAATTTGAGTCTATATTGATTGTAAAATATTATTAAACAAACATCATTTCTATTTTTGCTTTAATTAAAGTACAAAATTAATTCTAAAATATTTTAACTGTTTTAACTTAAACAAAAATAATCTTCGTACTTTTGAAACAAAAATAACCTTCGTACTTTTGTTTCAAATAAATTAGAATGGAGTTATGACATTACTTCAGCTCAAAAGCAAATCAAATATAAAATTAGGCATTGTAAAAAACTTATTGTATTTGGATGAAATTTTATTGATTAAGAGGGTTACAAGAATAGAATCTTTGAGGAAAAAGTTGTACTAGGAAAGAATAAAGATGTTAAAAATACCAACTTTACAAGAAAGAGGTAATGACCCAGTGGGCACCGGGCCAAAAAAAGACGTTTTTTAAACGTTCAGAAGACGTCCAAAACGTTCAAAAGATGTACAAAAGACGTCCAAAACGTTTAGAAGACATTTTAAATACGTCTTTTCTACGTCCGTGCCCACTGGGGAGCTGATTCAAATGTTTAAGAAATTAAAAAAAAAAAGACCCAGTTAGCCACTCCAATTGGGTCTGACAGTTGGGTTTGAACAGGGATTACTGGGATTAGCAACACTAATGATAGCAGTGTTCCCATCGTTAGTGCTGCCAAAATCCTATTTGGGCATATCAACTATAAAAACTTAGATCTCCTCTAAACCTTTGATGATTTTATTTTGTAAAATGTAAAATATATTCAATAAAATCTTAGCCAGCAACGCAGAGTAGAAAGGCCCCAAAATAAAGGTTTTTATATTGATTGGTTTAGACCTGATCAATGCTGAATTACTAAGTTCACTGCGTTCAGCTCCACAAACATTTTACGATTAGGAGGACAGAGTGTTAGTGAGGGCAATAATCATAACCAAACATGGTTAAATCTAGTTTGAATTTAAATACGGTATTTTTATCAGGTTTGTCTTCTTCTTCTTCTTCTACCTCTACCTCAAACTTGACTAATCTACTCATTTCTTCCCTTTTCTTTTGATATTGAAGATTTATGGGTTTACAGTAATGTGTACTATAGGGTTTTCTTATTTAACCATACATTTTCCTTAATGATGGTTAATTTAAGTGGAACAATAGCTGTCTGAAAAAGACGTTGCTCGCTAACTTTAGCTATGCCAATAATTTTTTTTTTTTATTATTTAGGTGCCCCAAGAAGACCTAACGGTCTTGTCACAGAGCACCATGGAAGTGCATTTAACCAGGAAGTTCATGCCTCCTTCCTCACCGTGACAGGCTCAAGGCATCTTTGGTTTTCATTTCTATCGGTAAAACTTATCTCCGTGCTTTTAACTTTATCAAAGTTTGTTGCATCTTTCATGATAACAACAATGTCTAAGATCTCTCGTGGCTTTTTTTATTGAAACTAATGCCAATGCTTCAGCAGGATGTTGAGTCAATTTGGAAACCTTAAACAAGATAACATTTAATATTTAAGCGAATATTTTTGATTTGGTTTGAATTTAATTGATTTATTATTATTTTAATTGTTCTGCTTCTATCAATAAAATCTTTTAAATGCTCTTTCTATCTGGACTTGCTGCAACGTCTTTTCTATCAATTACTATTTCTTTTTCCCAATCAAGTTCGCTCATTTTTCAGAAGTCTGGAGAAGGTTTTTAAATGCTCCAGCAATTTTGATTGGAAATTACATTTAAAGAATAATAGAGTTTCTTTATTTATCATTTCAGGTTCGTCAATACTTTCATGGTGAAGACCCTTAAGTCTTAAGTTTAACAAAATTCACGTAGAAGAGCCTATAGTTAACTCTATCAAGAATAATCTCTAGCATTTGAATGGTAGGAACTAAATGTATTCTTTTGATGATGGATGTAACCAATGAATTATCTTTTGATGATGAATGTAACCAATGAATTATCTTTTGATGATGAATGTAACGAATGAATTATCTTTTGATGATGAATGTAACCAATGAATTATCTTTTGATGATGAATGTAACCAATGAATTATCTTATGATGATGAATGTAACCAATGAACTATTACTATTAATTTTATACGCAAGTTTTAATTAAAACATTTTAAAACAATCAAAATGCCGTCAAATCTTGCATGATTCGGCTTTAAGGTGGTACCAGGGTAAAAAAAGAGCTATTTTTAGTAAAATTTTGAAAAATACGAAAATGAATGTTTTGAATTCTTAAATCTACCTATTTCAATATACATTTTTCAAAAAGTTGAAAATATTCTATATTTTCATAAAATTTGCCCTTTTTTGAAAAGCAGTTTGGTTCCGGCTTCATAGCAACGACCTTAGCAACGCTTTTTCTCCAATATCTCCTAAACCAAAAAAGCGATTAACATCAAATTTTTCTAAACAATGCTCAAGACGTTAGACTTCTCCTTTAATATTTTTAGAAGCTATTAGCTGTACGTTGAAACTACAAGAATTGTTCTCAAAGTAGAGCTCCTGAAGGACGGAAGTTAACTTTTGTCAATGCTTCCTTCAGTTTAAATTGAGTTATAATTAAAGATTTATTAGTGTTTTTATTTACAAATGGGTTCTTCAAGCAGGTATAAGTCCTCTAAAGGTAACAAAAGAAAGGTTTTTAGAGGAAAAATTACAAGAAATGATGGTAATACAGCATCAAATGTTACAAAAAAAGTTGTAAATAAATCGGCTTCTGCAGAGAAGTTAGATATTTCTTTAGAATCGAAAGACAATTCTTCATCTCCTCTCACTGCATTCGATTGTAACTTTATTATTAACAGTGAATTATTTGTATCTTTAATTACTACCATTGGTCGATGTCCTGATTGCATGAGCAGTATCAGCATTAAACATTTGATTTTGGAAAAAAGGGGATTAGCACAATTCTTCAAAATTTCTTGCAACGATTGCGATTGGAACTTACAGTTTTGTTCTTCAAAGGAATGTAATAGATTATCTAATGCTCCAGGAAGAAGTAGTTATGAAGTAAATAAAAGGGTACTTATTGCTTTTCGGGAGAATGGTCAGGGGTATTCTCCATTGAAAACATTTTGCCGGTGCATGAATATGCTACCACCGATGACTCAAACAACGTTTGATGACTTGAACTCTGATTTGCATAATGCTTATGTACAAACATCTCAGGAATCGATGACTAAAGCTGGAAAAAGAGTTAATTATATGTCTGAAAATACAAATAGTAATTTTTCCCAGAATGAAAAAGTCAGTGGTGATGGTACATGGCAAAAAAGGGGTTACTCATCCCTTAACGGTGTTGTGACACTAATTTCGAAAGGCAAATGCATTGACTTTGAGGTTTTATCAAAGAAATGCAAACAGTGCGAAAGATGGGCGCATAAAAAGGACACTATTGGTTATTTTTATTGGAAAGCTTCATATATTTGTTCTATTAACCATACTGGCAGTGCAGGTGCGATGGAAGTTGAAGGCTTAAAAAAAATGTTTCACCGATCAGAACGGTTGCATAACTTACGATATACCTTTTACATAGGCGACGGAGATACTAAATCTTTTGATGAGGTATCAAAATCTGATCCTTATTCGGTTACAAAATTATTAAAGGAAAATGTGTGGGACATGTTCAGAAACGTGTTGGGGCACGTCTTCGCACAATTAAAGCTAACTATAAGGGGAAAAAACTTGCTGATGGTAAAGGAATTGCAGGTGGGAAAGGAAGGCTAACTGAAAAAGTGATGAATACCTTGCAAAATCACTATGGTATGGCTATTAGGCAGAATACCAACAATATATATGCAATGAAGAAAGCAATTGCTGCAGTTTTACACCATTCAAGTGAGCACGATGATCCTGAAAAACGACATCAGTATTGTCCTCGTACAGCTGAAACTTGGTGTAAATTTCAAAGAAACAAAATTAATGGTAAAAAATACAAAGATAATATTAGTATTGACACAGCTGTCTGTGAAATAATTAAACCAGTATTTTCTTTTAAAGATCTTGTTTGCGATGAACTTTTGAAAAAGTGTATGCACGGTGAAATTCAAAACGTCAACGAGTCTCTCAATAATATTATTTGGACAAAATGCCCGAAACAAACTTATGTTGGGAATAGTACTTTAAAAATGTCTGTAGCTTCTGCTGTTATTAACTATAATGATGGGGCTACAGGACTACTTCCTGTGTTTACCAAATTAGGTGTAGATTGTGGTTTTTATACTACAGAGGGAAGTAAAAATAAAGATATTAATCGTGTCAAACAATCAGACCATATTAACCGAGATCATGTTAAAAAAAGACGTAAAAAGCTCAGAGCCATGAGAAAAGGATATAATGATCAAGATAAACTTGAAGAGGGAGAGGCATATGGTTACGGTCAATTTTGAATAGTTATGTTAGAAAATATTATTAGTATTTTACTTTTTAAAACTTGTTTTAACTTTTTTGTCACTTTTTTTTTCTCACTAAATTGCAATTTTTCAGAAAAAATAACTTTCGATAGAAAGTAGCTAAAGGGCTGAAATTTTGCAGGATTAAAGATGAACATATTAGGAATGTTGTCTATGAAGCAATTTTTTTTAATTTTTTTTTTAAAAGTGATTTTTATCATGTTTTGGTCTTGAACTTCCCTTAAATTTTATATTTTAAAGTTTGAATGTCAACCTGGTAAAATTAAAAAAGTTTAAAAAAAATCTGTTTCATAGACAACATTCTAAATACGTTAATGAACATAAGTTTAAATTTTCAAACAGTTTTGACAATTTTTAAGTCAGTTATATTAGATGAAAGAGTAGGCAGTTTTAGGGGTAAAATAACACTAATTATGCTCATAATCAATGACGTCATCACTAAAAAAAAAATTTTATACTAATTTATATTTTTTTTGTCCACTAAAAAAAAAGAGCTAAAGTATAATGATATTTTTTAATTTTTTGTAAAAAAAGTCGCCTTTACCCTGGTACCACCTTAAAGGTTCGATAATTAGCACGATCCGCTTGAGTCCGAGTTTTTTTATTGATAAGAACTAAATATGTTGTTTTTGTGATGAAAGTAAGCAACTATTGTTAGTTACTTAATACGCAATTTCAATTATAAACGGGAAAAAAAAATTATTTAAATGGCATTACATTAAATTGGGGAAACAGATTTTTTTTTTTCTGCTTTCATATATACCAATCAATAGGAAAATGTTAAAACTACAATGAAATGTAATAGAATCTTTTAGTTTTTGAACTAAACTCGTAATTAAACAAAAAAAAAAAAAAAAAATTCATTTTAGGACACTTTTTTAATAACTTAGTAATGAAAATATAAAATAAAAAGTTATTGTCAATAATGTTGTTAATAGTTACTAAATATCATAAACACTAAACTTTAAATTTTGATGGCTTCAAATTAAACTTTGAAATGTTATTATCCATATCAATTTTAAAAGTGACACTAAAGCGAGAATTTTTTAAGCGAGCTTTTAAATCTATTTTAACAATAGATAAAATAAAATAAATAGGTCTCGGAAAACGAATTGGTGAGTTCTTGAAAATTAACTACTAAAAAATTATTTTTTGTCTCTTAGTGGCATTTAGTATCATTATAATTTAATTAACTATTTTAAAGTAATAATTGTTTTTGGGTTTTTATTAGACGATATTTCGTCTGACATTTTATTCCCATGAACTATGGGACGTCAAACGATAAAACTTTGGTTTTTGCGCTAATGCATTTTACAATCTACCAAAACAAATAAGTTCCAGCATCTTTACTTTGAAGTTAGAACAAAACAATGGAAAATTGCGTTTTTTTGGGGGGTTTTATAGTTTATTTTTTAGCTTTTTTAAAAAACTTAAGTGTAGTTCAAATAAGGTTTTTAAAGTTGCATTAAAATCTTGCTATTTATTAAAAACTTGTTATTTACCAAATACTACCTTCCTAAATATGTTTTAAAGTAAGAAATAAATTAAATTTCTTTTTATTCATACATTTTTATTAACTTTTTACAAAAGCAGTTGAGCACCCCTATCATTAAAGATAATCAAAAAATATTTTTTCTGCTTGACTTTTAAAAGTCAAGCAGAAAAAATATTTTTTGATTATCTTTAATGATAGGGGTGCTCAACTGCTTTTTAGTAAGTAAGTAAAGTAAACGAGAGTTTACTTTAGTTGAAAATTTTCAACTAAAGTAAACTCTCGTCTGACTTCGCGCATTAAGTCAGACGAAATACAGTCTAGGTTTTTAAGGATTTTACACTATGCGATGGAGAGCATGGGTTGTTACGGCTTAATTCGTTTTCAAATACGACGTCATACATGATCTTCCAATCATTATACAACACGAAAATAAAATTTCATTTCGTAGCTTTGCGATTCATAAATGGTGAGAAGCGCTTTTAAATGGCGTTGATTTTAAAACGTTTTAGATGACTAAATTGGAATTTAGATAGTGAGAAATGCTGGATACAAGTTTCCTCAAAACTAGTATATTTAGCCTCGCAAATGTAGACGCTGAAAAAATATTTAGTTCAATTGCAGAAGATGAGAGAGAAGCCAGTCAAGAAGCTGGTCGTAAAAGAAGGAAACTAGACGATTTTACGCCACAAGAACGAATGATTCGCAGGTAATGGTTTTCAATAATGTTTATATTTTTTAATCTTTGGTTTTTTTTCTAATATCTATTATAATAAATTGTCAAAATTTCTATTATAATAAATGTTTATTTTATGATTAATAATTCTCCTACTTTATGAATAATTTTTCTACTAATTTTGAGAATGATTTTTTTAAACATTTTTTTTTTTTAAAACCTTGAGATTTACAAAAAAATTTGGATACATGTAAAAAAAATTTGAAAAAGTACTTTTTTTTTAATCAAGAAATATTTTAAAAGTATGATAAGTTATATTTAATAAATAACTCATTTTTATATTTAATAAATAACTCATGTTTTTTTTTTCATGTCATTTTTATTCATGTCATTTTTATTCATTTTTATTCAATGTGTTTAGAATTGCAAATTTATGTTTCTTTCTTTGAGATTTTCAGCAGCTGTTCAGGCTGTTTCTTTTTTTTTTACAATGCTAAATAACCTATATCTGGATTTTATATTATATATTGATATACAGATTTGTTTAAGAAACTGGTTTTTAAATTAAGTTTTTTTTAGTTTAAATAACTAATTTTCTATCAAAAAATTATAACTGTTTATGCTAAAAAAAAATCTTATCAAAATGCAAATATCTTGGTATCAAAAAATTGGAGTGGACTACAAATTTATGTTGACTGCTAACCACCCGGTGTATCCAGGGGATATAGGGAGAGATAGTGAATTAAACACTTTTTCCAGAAAAAAATCTTTTCATTTATCATTATCATTATCTAGACATTAGTACTTTGAATATACAAAAAAGTTGTTATAAATTTATATTTAACCACCAAAATACATGAGAGACGTATGTAAATGAGGTGGGTGTGGTGGTGATGGTTTGATACACCCTAGTATCAAACCATCACCACCACACCGCATAGTATAAATGACTTGTTTTTGTAAATATTTTTATCTTTAATTAACTATTGTTAATACTGGTTAACCACCAAATATGGAAGGTGAATGTAAAACTCATGGTAAATATTTTTAACACACTCTTATATCAACAAAAAGAAATTTTAATTATAAAATATCTGGTTATTTATTTAACTCACAACAACAATGAAGTGAAAATTTATCTTACTAGATTAAAAGTTAGACTATATCTATCAAAAAAGTAAACATATTTAGCTTATATCAATAGTTTATAAAACTATCTTAGCTATTTAGCAAAAGTAATGTAATGATCTTTAGTATATCAAAAGTAAAGTAATGATCTTTAGTTAGCATGTATCATTAAACTATACCATTAAAATTGTTAACATTTACTAAACTTACAAATCTGCTGCCTGAACTCACCTAAAAGCCAATCTTAAATTACAACTATCAAAAAATTAAATTATAACACTAACATAAAAAATTTGTTTTAATGATTGTTCAACTAAAATAGTACTCATTATTTGTTCTAAATTTTCTATAGAAAAAAATAACGACTCAATAAAAAGCAAGAAGCAATCAGAAATGTATAAATAAACAACTAAATAAACTTTGTGGGTGTACAACAATCTGCACAACAAAATATAGCATAATTTAAGATCTATAATTGAATAATGAGAGCAAAAGACTAAATAATAAAATAATAAAGTATAACATATATATACATATATATTATTACATAACATAACATTTATATACATAAAGTATTGAGACATTAAAGTTCATTTAATAACTTTATATTGTAGTGAGGCAAATAATTTCATTTCAAAATTTTAATAAATAGGAAACAGTATTGAAAACCTCTATCTCTATCATTATTTTCCATTTTTTAATGAAAATTGTATTTAATCTAAATCAAATATAAAAAATATTAATTTAACCCCTCTGTCTCTTGCAACCATATAGGTCAAAATGAAAATTATATAGAATTGTATAGAAGAAAAAAAAGGAGCATATCTTTAACATTAATTTCATGCCTAAAGTTTTAGACATCAAAAATTTCAATAATAAACTTAACAGTAATAAAGTTTAACTGTTCTATTTTCTAAAAATAATAATGTTGAAATCAAATTCTAAAAAGTTTGCTAACTAAACATGTCTTAGATTTCGCTCTGTCAAAGTGGATTTCCGCGTACCTAATTTCATTTCTGATTAGAAAACAGGCTTGGTCGGGAAGCGTGAGCGATCGCTCTCGATTGCTGACCACCCTTTAGTAAGTCTTTGAAAAGTCACCCCCTTTAGTAAGTCTTTAAAAAGTCATGTTTTACGCAAAGATTTGTTGAAAACCATACTATAACTTTGAACCCCACAATAAAGTTTATTTTATTGAAAGCCATATCCTATCCAAAACCCTGAATCTAACCCTAAAGGTCAGGTTTAGGGTTTGGTTAGGGTATGATTTTCAACAATATTCATTTCGTATAAAACTTGTTTTACAAATTTACTATAAGGGGTGTCTGAAATACAAATATGCCTAGGATTTTTCTAATTTACTGTGATCCTTCTAACTTGTTAATTTCATCTACCTGCTAAAAATATTGCTGGATTTTGGATAATCCTACAGTTAAGCAGCCTAAAATAACATTTTTTGTTATTAAAAAAACGGAGATGGGTGTAAGAATGTATATTTAAAAAAATATTAATAAATGGTACTAATAATTATTTATAATGATTATTTGTATATTTATAATAATAATAGTTATTATTAATCATAACAAAATATTTAAAATAATAGTTATAATATTTATAATAAATGTTTTATGATATTTTTAAGTCTCTACAAACAAGTGCGCAAAAATATAATTATTTTAAGCTGCTTAACTGTAGGATTACTGGCTTTTGATAGTTGTTAAAACAATTTTGTCAACATGTAATGATCAAGTTTATATCGCTTAATTTCATGCTTTTCAAATGCTTTTTAACTTTGAGAAATATCATGTTTGTATGTCAACTTAAAGACCTTTTGCTAAATAGCTAAGATGTTTTATAAACATAAAAATCATAAAATTATATCATAAATTATATCATAAAAATTAGTAATTAATATCTAATATAAAATTAATATCTACTGTTTAAGTTGTATAAAGTAAGCTTTAATGTGTTTAAAACTATTTAAAATTAGGAAGTTAAAAAATCGTGTGGCAGCCCAATCAGCTCGAGATAGAAAAAGAGAGAGAATGACTGAGCTTGAACAAATAGTCAGCAGGCTAGAGAATGAAGTAAGTTTTAACTATTATTATTTAAAAATATAATTTTTGCTATTTTCTAAATTTACAACACATTATTTAGAATAAAGAACTTAAAAAGTCTAATGAAGAACTAAAGTCAAGTATGGCTTATCTCATGGAGCAAAACAAAGAATTAAGAGTTCGAATGGGAATAGAAATTGAAAATGATCATACATACACTCAATGTAATGGTGTCTCAGATAATTCAATTGTGATAAAGAAAGAAGAAGTGCCTAGTAAGCATGCATTGCTTAAAGTTTCTCAGCAGCAGAAGTTAAAAGCACTCCTTGTTTCCTTGATCACGATGTGGATTGCAAATCCGAGGTATTTTTTTTTTTAATTGTAAAAACACCATATTTTATGTGTTATAGTTATAAATTTTGTAATTATAAATGAACATTTCTACTACTGTTCTAACTTTAGCTTTATACATATTTTTAAATTTTAATTTAGACTTACCAATTACCTAACATCCTTGAGCGAACTGAAACAAGAGCAATTTTTAAAGGCAATGCTCCAAAGAAAATTGAACTTGCAGCAGATGTCACCCAAGACTTACAAATCAGTAGAAGCTCTTCTTCGGACAAATTTAAAACCGATATTTCGAGCTTGTCTGATGAAGATACAAATGAACTGTTTAATCTCTGCCAAGACATCCAAAACTTGGTTAATGAACCCTTTAATACTATAAAAACAGATAATGATATTTTTCAGGACTACTCTTGTTTGTTTCAAACTTCACATAATAAACATTTAAATCAATCAATAAATCAAAACAATACAAATAATGTAAAAAAGAGCACAGACTTTAGTTATATTAATGATCTTGAGGAACTTCTTAATAGTGTTGATGATTTTCAGGACTCAAAAAAGTATACAGATAAAGAATATATTAGTAACACAGATTTTTCTCTTGATCAAGTATTCACTGAACTGTTTCCTTCTCTTTTATGATATTAAAATGGTGTGTGCTATTTGCTGTTGTAAATAAAAAAAGAAATTTTATAAAAATGAAGTGGTTAATTGTCCGCTAATAAATACAATTATACTATGTACATAAAAAAATTTTTATATAGAAATATAAGAATTTGTCACTGTTTAATTTCTTTCAGCTTCTTAAAATTTAACTCAAGTAATGTTTTGCGTTAGCTGATCGCCACTTGAAGGTTTGCTGTCTAATATAAGCAAACAGTTTCATATAAAAATCAATTTCATTTGCAGTTGGACTTTTCTTTTCCAAACCTTCATATGTGTGTATATTTTTTGCAAAAATTGGCTAAATCGTTTTCATATAAATTTCTTTTTTCTTACGAAGTGAAGAGAAATCATCACCAGTTGTACTTGGCACCGGTGAGGATTCATAGTGGGGCTTGGCGAAAACCGAAAAGTTTTAAACTTTTAATTTAAAAAACCGCAAAATCTGGTTTTCATTTTTTAAATTAAAAAACCGGGTAACTTGTTCTCTACCGGATTGTTAATTATAAAAGTGAATTTTTATTATTTTTGTATAAATCCAATATTACCTAAAGAACTTGATAAGCTGGAATTAAATCTGTAAACTATAAAAAAAATACGTAACATTTTATTGACATCGCCCTCCCCCTCCTCCCCCAATATAACGAAACAATTTTGTATAAATTTTTTAAAGGAAATGGGAGGGGTGCAAATTTTTACAAAATACAAAACAATTTTAAATATAATAATATTATGAAAAATATACCTAATATATATATATATATATATATATATATATATATATATATATATATATATATATATATATATATATATATATATATATATACATATATATATATCATTGTTCATTGAGAGTCCAGTTTAGTTGGACTCTCAATAAACAGTATGCCTTTCTTTTTAAAAAGTATAAAGAGGATGTGTGATAAACAATTAGATACTTTTTTACAAAGAACGAGAGATCTCTCTAAAGGTAAATGATATCAGAAAGAGTAAAAAGAGAAGAAATATATGTGAAACAGCGGGATGTGAACTTGGGTCTCAGCGGCAAAATGTCTTAACTAAATGAGCTATACGTTCATTCAACTAAGTGAATAGTAATATTTATTTATTATATAATTAAGAAACTATATAAAACAGAATTTACAGAAAGAGATACGTATGCAAATAGGATTCTGTATATCAGGAAAATAAATAGTAATGTGAACCTTTAGTTGCTTATAATTAATATCTGGACTCGAAAACTAGTTACTTTAATGGAACACAATAGGCTGTAGGAGCCTTAGGGAAATTATATTCAGAAATGATTATATTAGACTCAGAGTTAGCTAGAAATTATTACAAAGTGTTTAGGACAGATGTCTAGTACAAAAAGCACAAGATTTAAAGCAAAATGATTTATATTATTTGAAAAAGTTGTTTTACGTACATTTCATCATAATTTAAGTAGAACTTAGTAAAGCAAGGGAAATGTGTAGAATTAGGCACAATGAACTCAATCTTAAAAAAAATAACTAACAGAAGAGAAGTTGTTACTATTATGAAGGTGACGAAAGATCTGTAATATAGAACATGGAGTTCAAAAAATGCTATAAAAGAGTTTGATGAACAATATGTATGTATGACAATAATATATGATGAACAAAGTAAAAAGAGTTTGATGAACAAAAGTTACAATGGCTGCGGGATGCAAACCCGGATCTCTGCGGCGAATTATCACGTATCTAACTGATTGAACTATACGATCTTATACTTAAATTTTTATCTTATTAAAATTAAAAAACAATATTTTCTAAGATCTATACTTCGAAAAGTGTATTCAAACAGGACTCTATATACCTTTAAAATCTGCTAGAACTTTAGTAACGTGCACACTTTTAGAAATTATTGAAATAGGTTTATTTTATCAGAAATATGCTTAAGCTAAAGCATATTTTTGAGCCTCTTTTTACTATTTGCTTAATCATATTCGAACTTGTTTCAAAAATTTCATATGCTTTAAAAAAAAAAAACATGTATATTCCTACCCATCATTCTTATTTTTAATATACGTAATGAGTTCAAAAAACATCGTTATATATATTTATTATGGCACGTTTCGTAAGTTTATTTCCGTTAAGAATTCTTTCGTATGTTGTGATCCGAAATACTTTCGTTTCGAAAGAAATTTTATTTTCTATCAATATTTCTAAAAATAAAACCATAAAAATTTAATATGTTATTATACTGAAACTAAAAATTCATTATAAACATTTTGGGATTTAAAGATGTTAATTTTTACAATTAAAATCAGTCTGGCAAACAAATTTTCTTTATAGACTTCAAAACGTCGTTTGGCAAAAATGTTTGTTTCGCAAGTGCGACTTCCGAAACCGCTACGTTCGTATGTTGCAAAATAGTTTTGTTTCGTATGTCAACTTGCGAAATGCTAAATTTCGGAAGTGGCTTTTGCAAAATGAACATCGGCGATTTTAAATGTTTTGTAACATTCGGTACGAAAAAATGTAATTCCTCGTTCTCAATCTCCTTACGAAAGAATGTTGTTTTTCCGGAATTGCATGAAATCCTCCGGTTAACAACCCTAGTTTAGACTCCGTTTATTAACTACTCCGATAATTTTTTCAGTTAAAGTTTCTCCGTTATCAAGCTCTGTTAACTAGTTTTCGTGCTGTTTTTTTCATGGCATTTAAGCGTTGCGATGCCAACAAACAATAAAGCTGTTTAATTGGGAAATCGCAGCCGTTGATTTTTTTATTAATAACTGCAGCGTAAATTTTAAAAATTTAATTAAAACACGTTACAATATAAAAAAACTTATATAATTTATGATATCGAAAATATTAAAACAACTTATTGTCCAAAATGTCGCAAAACAAAATTAGGACGAAATCAAAAGTTATTTTCAGCAACTATGTCTTCATTATTTTTTTCATAATTTTCAATTGGATTGTCATCTATGTCTACATCATTTAACTCTATTGCTAAATTTTGCAATACAGCACACACAGCAATTATGGTGCAAATTCTTTCTAGGGTCATTCGAACCTCTCCATGAAGCAAATGAAACCGTCTATTCCACCTTCCAAACACTTGTTCAATTAAAACTCTTGTTCTTCTTAAAAATATATTATATCGACGCTGAGCTGCTGTAGTTAGACTTAGATACAGCGTAAGCAACCAACGAAAACATGGATATCCGGAATCGCCAAGTAATGAACCTTTAAGAGTGCAATCTACCATTTTTTTACCAAGGTTTAATTCTCTTAAAATTCTTCCGTCATGTGTGCTTCCAGGCCATTTTGCAATAATATCAATGAACTTTCCGTTATAATCACACACCGCTTGGACATTGATCAAATGATTTGATGATCTATTGACATATATTCTTGCTCGCGTGGTTTTTGTATGCAAACGTGCGTGTCGTCTATTAATCCAGTTATTCTTGGAAATTCTGCCACATGAAAATTTATTCTGCTCTCATTTAAAACGTGTGGATCAGTTGGGTACTTAATGTATTCTTTACCTCATTTTGAAAGACTCAAAGAAACTCGTTAACTTAAAGCTGCTGTAGAATCACCAATCAAAATCTGGAAAGATCCTATTGCATAAAATCGAAGTGCGCATAATATTTGATAGATTGGCGGAATACATAAACTTTGATTTGACTTTGGTTGTATCTCTGTTTTCAGCAAATTTTCCATATAGAAAATAGAAGCTCGAAACCTAAATCTTTGATATAAGTCAACATCATCATAAATATTAAGTGGGTTGGTTCGGTCTCTAAATAACCTTTCACGTCTATGACCTCGCCGGACTGCTATTTCTTGACGTCTTACTCCTGCGAAAACTAAATGCATACGAACGAACGAGTCGAGGTATTGTCTTTGAATATTTTCTATTCTTACTACTTTCAGCTTTTTTTTATCAGACCATATACGTGTTATTGTGACAATAAATAACCTGCGACACAAAAAAAATAGTTTCCTAGCAATTTTTAGAAAGAAGAAATTTAAATTTAGGGAAGAAGTGCTAAAGCTGCAGGCTGAAAGAAAGTACTTTATTTCTAAAAAGGAGTTAGTGGAGTTAGAAAAAAGAAACGCATTAAAAGAAGATTTATTAAAAAAAAATTGTAGAAAGGCACTTAAAAACATTATAACTTTCTTGTCAATTAATGTAACACCATTTTTGTAAAACTTATTTTTTGTATATTAATATAAGCACATAAAATAATTATTTATTTATTTTTAGTTGTGAATTTACTTAAAATTTCCCCAACTTATAGGTTCATTTATAAGATTCTAAATTAAACTATTGGTAACAGTGAAAAAATACTGAGATTAAATGAAATATAATTATTTATCATTAATAATTATAACAGTTATTATATAATACATAGATAAGTTTTAATACATAACAAAATCTTTTGAAAATTGTTAAAAATTTACATAAAAACTAATAAAAAAGACATTTGTGTTCTTCAAATGTAAATATTTAGTTATGAAAATTTGTAAAGCCGAGAAATGCTCAAAAAAAAGATTTCAAGTTCTAATATACAAATATTGTTTGATAAACAACAAAAGAAAAAATCTATTCTTTTCTTTGCAATGGATCATGTTATTGTGCAAAATCAACTTCTAATATTTCAATGTCTACATTACTCATAACCTAAGACTCAGAAATTAATATAAGAAAACACGCACACGGACACACACACATTTATGTATATATGTTTATATAAATGTATACAAGTATATATATATATATATATATATATATATATATATATATATATATATATATATATATATATATATATATATATATATATATATATATATATATATATATATATATATATATATATATATATATGTATGTATATATATATATATGTATATATATATATATATATACATATATATGTATATATATATATATATATATATATATATATATATATATATATATATATATATATATATATATATATATATATATATATATATATATATATATATATATACTTGTGTGTGTGTGTAATATATGTATACTGGGGTGATGCAAAATTTGTAGGTTCAAAACTTTAGTTGTCCTCAAGCTTGCCCTTGTTCTATATGACAATAGTAG